GCAACGCACATGCTTGAGAGATGAGGATGCTGCCACAATCGGTCCCTTGTTTAGAATGGACTCTGTATAACAAAAGAACTGAATGCAAAGTCATACAAGATGATTCGATTCTATTACAATGTAGGGGAATCATGATAGGCCTCCCACATTAGAAGAACCAGCAATTGCACATGTAACTGTAAAAATGACGCACAGCTTGCTGAAGGTCACCCATAAGCTCACAGGGAAGAGCCACTGGGCAGGCACTTCGGTCTCTTCAGAGTCTTGCACCAGAAGTGCTTTCTGGCATCAGGAAATGACACAGCACCACAAGAGCCAGAGTGACTGCTGCCCAACTAGTTGGTCCAAGATATTGACATGGGCAAATCTGCTCCTTTTCCTGATGGAAATCAAATTCGGGGCTCTGAATATGCTGGATAAAGGCTTTAAAACTGTACTCCAGGCTGGTAATATTATTTTGGTTCAATATATTTGATATTATCTTCAATTATGGTAAGTATTTTTCTGTTAATTTTTTCTCCTTAATAAATTTGCTACGTGTTTGACAGTGCTTTATCACTATGTGAGCTAATTGGGCTTCGGCCTGCAGAAACGCTAGCTAACAAACACTCCTGCTAAACTGTAATGGAACAGAAGCAATCATTCGTACGTGCTTAAGTTGGTGAGTGTTCTGCGCATGCGCTGATGGCCTCCGCACTTGCCAGGCATTTTTACACTCCACTTCATGCTTCAGGTCTTCATCTCAGTGTCTGGGCTGAAGGACGCTGCTTAAGACACGCTTTTCTCATGGCAAAGAGTGCAGGCCCCATGAATATAACCCGAATTCATTCGATATGCCATTTGAGGAGGCTTCAGCTTGGGACACGGACCCTACTTCCTGTTTCATCAGCATCAGAATGCATCAACTGACTGGCCCAAACACGTGCTCAGACTTGGAAGAGCTGCATCTCTGGCCTGTCAATCCTCCAGTGCTGTGGCAGAGAACTCGCCAGGTTGGATACACCGCACACCGTCTTCACTTTCATTTTCCTTAGTGCTTTGGTAATGATTTGCCAAACAGCATTTTATTTTCTTATTTAGCGCTGGCCCCTGCTCCGTATGTTCAATCTCATCAAATCTTTATTGCCATGTATTCTGCCAGAGCTAGGTACTTCAAAAACATTTAGTCAACCACCATTGGTCAGACACCCAGTTCATCACTGGAGCCTGGCAGGCTTGAAAACTCTGAGTCTGGGTTCTCTATCCGTAAATGATCCATCTTCTTAAGGAGAATTGCAATTATTCCTCAGATATAAAAATTACAAATCAATGTAACTATGTAATGAATTTAGACTATTTAATGGGCTTAAAACCTAATTACTTTTTATATACTACATTTTTTATTTTAAACAATCAAAAAAAAAATCCACTAAGCAGTGACAAACTCATAAAGTACAATAGGGTAAGACAGCTAGCTCATGCTTTCATCCTGGCCTCTGTCATTAAGATTTATAGGTCCTGGACACATAATACATGCCCTGCTTTTGATCTCCTGGTAACCTCATTCGAGCAACAGCAAGAATGAGCTTTGACCTTTCAAGTTTTGTAGAATCGTGGTCAGTTGGTACTAAACACTATCAAAAATTTCCTAGAATTTTTCATTTTAATTTAAGACATACAAACATTAATATAGAAATTAATCACACACGATTTTGCACATTTTAAAATTTAGAAATTCTATACAAATTTAAAGAGTGTTTTTAATAAAAGATACTTCGAAAACAATATCCATTTTTCTCTGCTCCCCTCCCTGCCTCTCCCCTCCCCTTCAACCCTCTTCCAAGGTCCCCAAGCTCCCAATTTACTCAGGAGATCTTGTCTTTTTCTACTTCCTGTGTAGATTAGACCTATGTATGTCTCTCTTAGAGTCCTCATTGTTGTCTAGGTTCTCTGGGATTGTAATTTGTGTGATAGTTTTCTTTGCTTATGTTTAAAAACTGCTTATGATGGAGTACATGTGATAATTGTCATTCTCAGTCTGGGTTATGGCTTTTTGGTACCTAAAGCCACTCCCAACCTGATCCAGCCTCTCAAAGGCCATTGGCTGAAGGAGGTTCCCCATCCGTAGGTTAATCACACGTGGAATCCTCTATGTCCTGGCTCCTGTGTGGTTTGGTAGGGGCTACGAGGAAGGGAATGAAGACAGGAGAGATGCAGAAAAGATGACGGATGGACAAAGGAAATCTGAGGTCAGATGTGTATGCTACACGGGTCGCACCAGTCATGGAGAAACTCAGACCCTTGGCTCAGTTATTACAGACAGTGCAGTGAGTTAGAGTTCTCTGGCCTCGGTAGGAGGTGTCTCTCTGAGCGGTCTCAGACTGAAACCATCCAGAAGGAAGCTGAAGTCGCTCATCTTTTGCACCTTGCAATCTTTATACTCAGACTAGACTAAGCTTTGCCATTCCTGAGCCTCACCCTTACTGGGAAGGATTTATCAGCTTCGCGTGAGTCTACGGTACTGGTCTTTGACATTGCCGAGCCCGCGTCGAACCATTCACTCAAGATTTCCTTTGCTCTTTACACATTATTTTAAGGTTTCCTCGGCTCACGTTGTCCTTTTGTAGAACATTATAAATGCATAGCTTTATCGCTGAACCAAGTAGTATCCTAGCAACAAAATGCTAAGCACTTCCTTTGCAGTAAGCTAATAACCTTAATATTCTCATACATGAAGGCAGGAACAGCATTGGTGCTGTGAGAGAAGTGGTAAAAACGGACAGGATCTGTGTGTCCCTGCATTCAGCACATACCCGTTAAATGCCTACTAAGGGCCAGACACGGCGAGAACCCTGAGGACTGGAGCCAGTGTCAGCTTAGGTCATTTCTGATGCAATACATAATTCATTGAATTAATAATGGTGTCAACTTATAAACTGTTGTAAAAATTGATCTCAGCTTTTAACTGAAAATGTATTAAAGACCATATGAGTTTCCATTACTAGAGCACTTCAGAGAAAGACAGCCCACAATGTACACACAAAGAGAGAGAGAGAGAGAGAGAGAGAGAGAGAGAGAGAGAGAGAGAGACATATTATCATAGAGTTAGGGACTATGGCGAGTCCCAGGGTCTACAGGGTCAGTCAGCAAGCAGGAAGATTGAGATCAAGATTAGGCCCAGTTCCAAAGGTCTGAGAACCAGGAAAGCTGATGTGAATTCTGGTCCAAAGACCTTAAAGCCTGCATCTGGGAAAACTAAAGTATCCATTTGTGTCTGAGGGCAGGAAAAGCCAGCGACCAGCATTAAAGGCAGCCATGGACAGCTCTCCCATGTCCGACATCCAAGGGATCAAGCTATTGTTATTCGGACTGACCGTTGAGTGATGGCAATCACCCAAATTATGGAGAGAAAGTATCTTTATTCACTCTATCACGGCAAACATCTCCAGGATCAGCCTGACAAAAACAATCTAGAATCATGTATGATCAGATAACTGTGCCCTCCCTGGTCCTGTTCAGGATGATGCAGCAACTACCTACCACGGGGTCCATTTTGCAAGGCTGCTGGAGTGATGTTGTGGTTAGTAATAGAGACAGCAGGGAAGGAAAGAACTGAGAAGACAAGGAAAGACCTGCTGGAGACAGAGGGGAGGGAGAGGACCAGCTGGACAGGGAGGGTTTTCTGTTTAGCTAAGTTTTCCATCAGTCTCTAATTTGCCTGAGAAGTGTGGAAATGGGGACTTTCTGAGAAAGACCTAAGCGCTCCCTCCCCCTGGTATTCCAGCCAGGATGTTACTGGTGGCAAACAGGCTGTTCACAGCTCTGACGGTCTGCGCATGCGCATGTATTTTCCTGTTATATAACCAAGGTGTGGGTGTGAAGAAATAAAAATGAGAAACGTCTAGGCAGAACTGCTCTGCCCTGTTCCCGAGGGCTCTGCTGTTTCTCAGAGACAATGCTATCCTTTGGGAGGACTCACAAACGCATGATTGTGACGGAAATACGCCGAGAGGTCCACGCTTCGCTGTTCCGTCTTCGAGTTTCTTCTGATGTCTTTCGGAAATGTTATTCCACCTCTGCGTTTGACTGGTTTTCCAGAAAGGAACATTTCTGGGGCTAATTCCTTATTGGAAATGTTAGATTTCAGCCAAAATGTTTTCACACATAATATCAGTGTCTAATACGAAGTCTCTTAAAATATCTAGGTGCTTGGTTAATGTAATTGTTATTGTGGCTCTTAATGCCTAGTGGTTCTTCACCTTACCTTCAAAGACATCAATTGCGTGAGGGGATTTGCTAATTGGTCTCCTTGTACCTCAGTTCATTCTGTTGGAAAGTGAAAGTTTGAATAAAAAGCCCATTATTGAGTCTTCTAGCTTTAATTTTATATTCATGATTTTTACATGGGCTTCACACCAGATTGTATCCCCACCTTCATGTGCTGTCTTAAGAGATACTATGCTGCCCTCATGTGGTCAACCGCAAAGTAGCACACATACAGTAAATCTCTTCAGCCACTTTAGTCTCCAGTTTATGACTCAACCATGTTGTAAGAAGTTGTTCGTTGGTTCCCAGCTGCTCAGCCCCGAAGTAATCACACAGAAACTATATTATTTAAATCATTGCTGGGCCCATTAGCTCTAGCTTCTTATTGTCTAACTCTTACATCTTAATTTAACCCACCTCTACTAATTTCTGCATCACCACGAGGTCATGGCCTACCAGCAAAGTTTTAGCACGTCTATCTCTGGCAACAGCTTCATGGCTTCTCACTAATTCATCCTCCTTTCGCCCAGCATTCAGTTTAGTTTTCCCCACCTACCTCTATTCCCTGCACAGGCCCAAGACAGTTTCTTTATTAATCAATGGTATTCACAGCATACAAAGGGGAATCCTACATTATAACCATCTATAGCAAAATTAATTTGAACATATATATCTACAAATTTCTAATATTTCAGTGAACAATAAAGATATAAATTTTCACATAAAATAAGATAAATGATATGAATTCACAGATGTTATTTAAAATTAATTCATTAGGTTATATAAATATATATCTCATTTTTTCAAATATGTACTATTCAGGTGATGGGACTAAAAGACTTGTGAAATGTTCTGAAAGGTCATGATGGAAAATGAGAGATGAGTCCAGCATTGAGCTTGTGTTTACGAATTACATAACTCAACAAATTTCAACATTGCATTGTCCCCCAACACCTTAAACATCTTATTCTCTCATATTCCTTTATTTATAGGAGGCATTTCCATGGAAACAGTCATAAATGCTTAAATATCTGGGTTAACTCTATTAACAGAATACGTTTTACGAAAATTGAAGTGCAAAGTGTTAAGTTCGCATTTATTCATCCAATTGTGAGCAATATTCATGATTAATGGGTAAACTGATCTATTTGAAGTCTCTGTGTGGTGTGTGTGGGTGTGGTGTGTGTGGAGGGGTGTCATTGGGACCCAGCGTAAGAGAGCAGTGTTTCTAGGCCCTCAGTTTGACATTTTATAGTCAACAAGAAATAGGAAGCTACACAGGGTGAGCAGCAGCTGAGATTTTAGTTATTACAGAAATGATGGTGGCTTTAAAAGCATAATGTCTTAGAGAAACTAAGAACTGGATGAAACTTAGAATCAGATACCAGGAGAGCCTGCGCCGGCCCAAGCACTGACGATTGCCTGAGAAGCTTTTAATCTTCCGGGAAACTCTGTGCTCTGAAAAACAGAGAAAACATCTAGGGGCTTACAGACACTCTGCAGGCCCCTGCCTCCCATTGCCTAGTGATCCTGGAAGTCTTGCGTACAGAGCCACACTCCTCTCCTACCCTACTCTGTTGAGTTTCATCACAGCCACTCCCTGACAGGCCGGATTCAGGAACTCCCTTGTCAGAGGATGTGTGCTTCATGACCATACTAAACTTTCTTTCATTGTCTCAGTTTCTCTATAAGACCCAGAATGAGGACTCTCTCTTTCCAAGTATAACTTAGTGTGTCTTTACATGCCATCAGATCTTCTAAGGAACCACGTATAACCAAAGAACCTGCAGGACAGTTTCATAGAGCATAATCGCTCCATAAATTTCAGCGCAGAAATCCCAGTTCCAGAACTGTAATTCCTAATACCTCATTTTTTAATTCTAAATGCCCAAATCTTATTGTGACTATAAAAGTCAATAATGAGCAAAAGCTCTTGGTATTTGTTGGGTGAATGCAAATATTCAAGAGAAATAGATTAGAGAATAATGATTATACTTATAAGAGATAATAATATCAAAAATCATTTTCCCTTTATATTAATGATAGACAGCTCTTAGTATTATATCACTATGAATTAGACTTCTTCTTCTTCTTCTTCTTCTTCTTCTTCTTCTTCTTCTTCTTCTCCTCTTCCTCCTCCTCCTCCTCCTCCTCCTTCCTCTTCTGCCTCTTCTTTGTGTGAGCCTACCTTTTCTCACATCCACCCACTGGATAAGATGATATTTGCACAGTTAACGGAAGTCAAAAGCATGTGATACTTGCAGGATCTATTTCACCTGTGGGAAACAGATATCTACTAAACCATAATGGAACATCAATTAAATGACACATGCAAAATTAAAGATACCAGACTTATTTTCTCAGACAATTAAAATGCCACTTGTTTGCTACTTTAAAGTATGAGAGTGGAGAAAAAAGGGAAAGGAGAGAGAGAGAGAGAGAGAGAGAGAGAGAGAGAGAGAGAGAGAGAGAGAGAGAAAGAGAGAGAGAGAGAAAGAGAGAGAGAGAGAGAGAGAGAGAGAGAGAGAGAGCTGACACTGTTGTAGAAGTCGGTGAAGCTAGGATCAGGCCTTTCGAATGCCATCCCCATCTGGCATACACACAGCAGGCCTAAAGCTTTCATCTCTTCACGTTTACTCAAATGCCTTCAGAATAAAAACAGGCAGGGGTTGCCATGGAAACCGCTCATGGTTTCAGGTGTTTCTCGGGGCTTTTTTTTTTTCCATTAGCTATTTGGAGAAGAACTTATCCTATCCATTATGGCTTTTCATTAGTGCTATTATCCCCCTCTTTGTTAGAGGTTGACTGTAGGAATTCTACATTCTCCTGGGTTGCATTTCTGGGAACCTGTCATGCTGTCTTTCATTGTGCCCGATAAACTGCACAGAGTCACTTTTGAAGAGTGGCAGCTCCCGCCCACGTCTGGCGCCCACCACACAGCATTTTCTTTCTTTCTTTCTTATCCGTGGGGAGATTTAAATGTCACTTCCCTAGAAATTCGTATGTTCAGACTTGATATCGTCCATCTGGAATGTTACTGATATAAGATAATATAAAGGCAATTGTTATGACTGTGGGGACCCAATTCACACCAATAACAGCAAAAATAATCACAGTGGTGTGTCAGAGTGTGATGTTTAGCATTGACTGTCCACTTGACAGAATCTAGAATCACCCAGGTATGCTCATGGGCATGCCTGTGGAGGATTATCTTGATTGAGGTAACTGAGATGGGAAGACCCGCCCTCTGTAGGTGGCGTTTTTCCTGACTGAGATACTAGACCATAAGAATGGAGGAAAGGAGCTAAGCAGCGATCTAAATCACTGCTCTCTGTTCCGGACTGGAGGTGATGTGACTGCTACTTCAGGCTCCTGCCTCTTGGCTTCCCCTCCACGATAGACTGAACCCTTGAACTGTGAGCAATTATAAACCTTTTTTTTTCCTTTAAGTTATGATTGTCTCTGTATTCTCTCAAAGCCACTGGAAAAGTAATTAAGATACTCAGCATTAGTAGTCACCTGTGGGTTGGGCCAGCACGTAATCCCAGCACTCTAGAAAATGAATAACTGTTGTGGAATATTAGTTTGAGATGTGTTACATTCATTCACATTGTGGAATATTTATTTAATGATGTAAAGATGTGTTGCATTTTCTTATGTTGCATTTGTTTAACCCTGTAAAGCTGTGTTACTTTGCCTGTATAAAACACCTGATTGGTCTAATAGAAAGCTTAACAGTCAATAGTAAGGCAGGAGAGAGGATAGGAGGGGCTGGCAGGCAGAGAGGATAAATCGGAGGAGAAATCTAGGGAAGAAAGCAAGGAGCAAGAAGAGAAGAAGAAGAGGAGGCTTCCAGGGGCCCGCTACACAGCCATGCAGCCAACCACAGAGTAAGAAGGAAAGAAAGATATATAGAATGAAGAAAGGTAAAAAGCCCAGAGGCAAAGCATAGCTAAAGAGAAAATGGGATAATTTAAGTTAGAAAAGCTGACTAGAAACAAGTCAAGCTAAGCTGGAACATTCCTAAGTAAGAATAAGTCTCCATGTGTTTATCTGTGAACTGGGTAGTAGGCCCCAAAGAGAGAGAGAGAAAAAAAAGAAAAACTACAAACACAGAAGAACATGATTTCAAAACCAATTTGGACTATATAGCAAATTTTAGGGCAGCATTAGGCTACAACATAAAAGAGGGTCTGGGAAAGCAAAAAATTATCAGGAAAAAAACCCGAAAAAATGAAATCAGTCACACAGGTCCTAGGTAATTAATTCCCTCGTGGAATGATGCCCTCCCCATAACATAGGGTGACAAATTAAACAGGAAACAAACAACTCAGTACATGGATGACAATTACTCACATGCACTCCCAAATGTCAGGCTTTTCTCTGTGCTATGTGCAAGTATAGAAAGTTCATGGTGCTGCTTTACAGACGTGTGATTGATAGAGAATGCATGACACAGAATAAAAGTCATGTCAGAAGCCCGAGCATCCCCAAAGCACCCTGGTGCAGCCGAAAGGCTGTGGGCTCTGAGGACAACAGCTCAGGAAGAGTTCACAAGGTGATCAGGACCTGAACATCTCAAGGGCAGGTTTCTCCTGTGAGAAGTGAGGCCAATCATTACCAGGCTGGTGTAAGGATCTGAGGATGGACAAATTACCGTCTTACCAGCAGTCTCTTATGTTAGAGTCTGTGGTGCCAAGGCTGTGAAGGAACCCAAAGTTCCTGAGGTCATGGGAACATCAAACAAAGAAGCAAAGTCTTTTTACATGAATAGTCATAGTACTCCCAACAATGCCTTCATTTCCAGCCTGCATCAGACTCGGATTCAAACTAGTTCTCCGTTTTTAGGTTTGCTTTGCTTTGGTGCCCATAATATGTCATGCAATTTCAGTGGTCATTAATTACAAAACATTAATGTGTCCCTTAAGGAGGTGTGGGGATTTACGAGACAGGTAAAGTGACAATGAGGAACTGATGGGTGACAAAGATTATGTCAAGTCCACAGATGCCTCCCCCGCGCACGTGTGACGGAACACACAAAACCGCAAGCAGCTTGCCTAGCTTCTGGGGCCTCTCTGTCCTCATCTTCAAATGGAAATGCTCACTTATCACCGTGAGAAAAGTGAGAAACTGTGAGATGTTTATAAGGCCCAGAGACGGGTGAATCATTGGCATACAGGTGTTTATTAAGTCACAGCAAAAACAGACAACTTCACAAAAGAGCCACTTGAGATTGAAGTAGAATGATTAATAACTGAAGAAAATGCAGAAGATTCCAGAGAGTAAAGCACAGTGAATAAGGATTCCAGCATAATTAAGGTTGGGGAAGCCTTAAGAAAATGATTAATGTCCTAGAAGCATTAAAACACACACACACACACACACACACACACACACACACACACGCATGCATGCACACACACGCGCATGCGCATACACACACACACACACACACACACACACACACACACACACACGCATGCACGCACAGCCCAGAGAATCGCTCAAGGTAATTGGCTTGCAAGATGGTAGCAGACGGTGGCGCTCTTCATCATGCCTCTGTGCTCTCCCTGCGGCATTATTGTTTCAGGCTCTGTGTCTGTGATGGACCAGAGAAGGGCGTTACCAACGCCCCCTGCTGACGTCACAGTCTCACTCCCCGCCCATCCTCTGCACCTGCACTCAGTTACTCCTGAGGAAAACAGCTGCCGTGCCCACACAGCCTTGGGAGGGGAGAAGTCGGCATGTTAGAGTTTTGAGGACGCTGCCCAGACCTTAGGAAAACTGAGAAGACTTGTCTACAGATTGGAACCAAACCACATGACTTTCAGATGACTGCGACAATATTCCATCAGTGCCTGAATCCCCAGCAGCGACCCTCAGCCATCACAGCCCTGTCTCTGTCTGGTGCTCAATCCACAGAAGAGTGCACAAGATAGAGCATTATGAGTTTCTGTGTTTGGAGATTATTTTTATGTGTAGTATAGATACCTAATACAAGTTTGAAGGAACTTCCAAGTGCCATATTGCAAATTTGACAGAATTACCTCCACCTATGTAATGCTATTTATTTTATATATTCAATATTATTATTAATTTCAATAATGTCATATATGTAATGTATTTTTGTCATATCCACCTCCTACTCCTTGAAGACTGCTGCCATCCTATCCTAGCTTCATGTCCTCTCTTTTTTGGTTGATTCTAAAACTAGAAACCCAAGGAGGTCAATTTGCACAGTCCATGAACTCACGGGTATGGGAATATCTCCTGCATCCTGGGTCATCTACCAGTGTCTGATCCCCCACACAGACCATCAAATATTAGTTCTTCATGCCACTGCCGTCTTTGTGTATGCTTATACTAAAAAATCAGTAGATACTTGGCACCCCTTCTCCCAGATGAAACCCTTCTCAAAGCACTTGAAATAACTGTGTATTTCCCATATAACAAATAATTATAATTGCATTCTTACATGATCTCTGCTTGCCCACTTATCTTAACGTCACTCACTCTTTTGCTTTCTTTTATAAACCCCACATCCCTGCGTTTATTTCCGTTAGGTCTGTGGAACACACTGAATGCATTTCTACCTACAGGCTCTTGCATGAACTGATACTGGAATGATGGTTGTTGCAAGGAGCTGCTTGTTCGTTCTCAGCAGCTTAGCCCCAAAATAACCACACAGAAACTGTATTAATTAAATCACTGCTTGGCCCATTAGCTCTAGCTTTTTATTGGCTAACTTTTACATATCAATTTATCCCATTTCTATTAATTTGTGTATTGCCACGTGGCTGTGGCTTACTGGCTAAAGTTCCAGTGTCTGTCTCTGGCAGGGCTACAGGGCTTCTCCGCCTCTGCCTCCTTTCTTCCAGAATTCAGCTTCGTTTTCCTGCCTACCTAAGTTCTACTTTGCTATAGGCCCAAAGCTGTTTCTTTATTTATCAATGGTAATCACAGCATACAGAGGGAAATCCCACATCAGATGGTCATGCAGGCCATACTATGAATAGCAAGGAGGGGTCTTCAGCATCGCTTTTTCAGTCTCTCTATTCAAGATGGAACCAGAGCTGCTCCTGTAGTCTGGATGCAGAGGTCGCCTGGGGGGCCCCTTGTTAAAGGCTTGGGCTCCAGGTGCTGCTGCTGGGAGACAGCCACACCCTAGTGAAGGTTCTTTAGGTCATCACGCGCATGCCCTTGACACTGTTCTCTGCCCCCAGGCTCATGCTTGTTACCCCATCTGCCTTCATCTTTCATGGATGACAAATGTCCAAAGAAATGAAGCTGACTCACTGATCTTAGACTGAAACCTTCATAAATAAGAGCCCAAAAGAAGTCATTTTTCTTTATATATTGGTTATGTCATGCATTTCGTTGCAGTAATAGGAAACTGGCTGATATAGCCAGGTTATCAATCTCAGAGAAGATTCTGTCTGCTTTTCTGAGCATTTCACTTCTGCTTACAGCCTTGGTTAGGGAGCAGTTGGCAGAGAAGAATACTGTTGTCTCTGAGTCACAGGGATGGCTGCAGAAGGTGTAATAGCAAGGAGAAAATGGAGGCCTCTTTGCTTATAACATTTTATGAACTTTAACTCGAGTGTCGGTCACTTCCTGCACCCACCTTAGTGCTGCCACGGTCCATGAATCTGCTGGTCCCCTGGGGCCCAGTACCATCTATTTTAAATAAGGTTTCAGCCCTTCACAGTGGGTGTCACAGCCTCTTACGTCTGCAGAACCCACAGCTGATTTATGTCTTTGGTTTTTATTAGATACAGGGAGTAACTATGTCCTCCGATACGAAACTGGTGATGAAAAGTATGGTCTGGGCATGAAGAGGAGCTACGGGCGGGTTTTCACGCGGTCCGTGGAGAACAATGCTCCTCTTGGGAAGTTTGGTGGTGCTGACGTCAGGGAGACAAGCCCACAGGTTCCTGCCTATGCTGACCTCAACGATCCCTTCACAAGGAACCCGCCTACTAGTTGACTCGTCTCAACGCATTCTCTTTTGCTATTATTAAACTAAAACTAATTTTCTGATGGCAATCCTTGCTTTTTGACAACCCTTAGAGTTGGGACTTTTATGTTCAGGTGGTCAACCTAAGGATAATCGCTGTGATCTAAGGAAAATTGATTTTAACTAAAGTTAAGTTCCTAACACCAAGTATTTACTGATCGAATATCCACTACATGTCATTCGTGCCTAAGAGACTAAAGAAGTGAAATCTTGGCCATCATGAACATTTCGGTACAGCGCCATCTATGGACCAAACGATGCAGATGCTGAAAGGCAATGGAACAGCATCAGAGAAGTAGGGTGGAGGCTGGGGAGGGCGTTCTGTTTTAACAAGGACAATCAGGAAAAGCCTGGGGATGAGGGGACATTTGATCGAAGACAAGAGGGGGGAGAAAATGAGCCACATAGTATTTCAGATACGCAAAGGGGCAGACGCTAAGGCAGAAATGATGCTGGTCCTTCCCACTTCTGGGAACCTGGATATAGTCATCCACAAAGGATCTGCTTTTGGCCAAGAGAAAAAAGAGCACAAAAGAGCAAATGAGGGGCATGTAAACCGAGAGAGGAGAAAATAGAGAAGCACAGTAAGGATTCACTTCAAACTCAGAGTTTGCATTTCCTGTGTCTATGCACATACCGTTCTGAGAAGCAGCTGTCTTCTTCTCCAGGGTCACCAGCATATGTGATATATGACCAGATCTTTAAGTCACCCGGTTCGCCTTAAAGGAGAGCCCTGGTCCACTCCACCAGAAACCCCTTCAGCTGAGATGTGTGTGCCATAGTGACTGATTGGAACAGACTCCCTTCGTTCCTTTTGCATTCTGTTCTCCAGTGCTGCGGTGAAAAGAAAACAAGTTTTTTTTTTTTTTTGAAATGGCAACAATTAATTAAAGCAGGTGGAAGAAAGCGGAGGGAATAGGTTATGAAAGAAGCTAAGCAAGAAGAAAACGACCTAATAAAACAGAAAGAAAATTAAAACTACCTTCACAGGGCAATAATTAGAGGAGCGCACAGAACGTGCCCTGCATGTAAAGATGTGTTTAGAAGGACTGCTTTAGTTAAATTTCATCAAGAACTTCAGAAGCCAGTGCAATCTTCTTCAAGGGCAGAAACGGTCACAATATTAGAGACAAAGAAACTTTTGTGCGGCCCTAAAAGCTTGTCATGTATTGGCAAGCATCCATAGCATGAAAGCACAGTCTAAATTCGCACACGGTTACGCGTCTACATAGAACCTGCTGAATTCAATTTACACACATTCTACGAACGCATGCTCAATTTGAAATGACTGGAAGAAAAATAATGGGCTTAATCCCACATGTCAGGAAACATAGCAGTTCGTATCTTCACGCTGCTGTATATAAATCATGCCTTGGTCTCTTTCCACCTAGATAAGAAGCTAACCCCTGAAGCTCACTAGCAACAGAAGGTCCTTGACGATGCCAACAAGCACCCAAGAACCAGAACAACGGGGACCCAGCAGCTTCCTACTTCTGGGCCTGCGCCCCACGCGGGCGGTGGGCGGAGCCGAGGAACCGAAAGAGAAAGCGGGCTGTGCTCGTAGGACCGCGGGAACCGGGATGAAGCCACGGTGGGCGAGCCTCTTGCTGCTGTGCTGCTGCTGTCTGGGCCACGGGGTCGCCCGGACCTGGCCGCGGAGCCACCAGCGGGAGGCGGCCGCATTGCGGGTACCAAGCTCCCCTCCTCTACCTGTCCCCTGCCCCAGGGCTCCTCGGGAGGGACCCACGCTCCAGGCGCACCTTTCCCCAGCAGCACTCGCTGCTGCCTAAAGCCTTGATTTCCCAGGACAGGGATATATTTGATGCTCCCCAAAGCACCAAAATATGTGTCCGAAGCAAAGCTAATGGGAAGATGCACCCTCTGCTTTTGAATCTCAAAGCCTTTCCATTTCTCCTTTCCCACAACGAGCTTATCGCTTACAAAGTCGCCTGCAGGGGGCGCGAGCTCCCTCCTCCAGTTACTGGAAGTTCAAAAAACCAGTCCCAGGCTCATTGATCTCCAGGGTTAAAGATTTCCCTGTCCGGTGGACTCTGTACCATGTTACTAAAAAGTCCTTTTCTGACTTGGTGGAGACTGACGTAGAACAGAAGGAAACATTTCAGTGCCTTTCATCCGGGCTTAAAATTCGGAGATGGACCGATCAGCTGACCATAGATATATTTTCCTCGATCACGAGGGACCCTGACTGAAATTCAAACTCACAGTTGCCCTACATTCCTTTAGCTGATGCTAACTGACAGCTTTTTAAATCGGAAAAGATGCCATCACGGTTTTATTAGAAAAGAAAACTCCCTTGTTCTAAATCAAGAATCTGTGTGAGTTCTGTAAAGTCGCTCCCTGAAGGCGTATCTAGTGTTTCTCCTCCAGCTAGCTTCTTGTTCTCTGAGATTTCTGTGGGACCCCATAGCTCCGCCCTCCTCTGCTGTCCTCTTTGCTTAGAAAACTCTAGCAGTAGACAGTCAGGCCTTCTTTGGCGGCAGTTATTTCTTGTGTTTTACTCAATCCAAACGGTGCACTCTTTCCTCCTGATGGGTGACCCACAGGTCCACCTGAATTATCTCCTCCAAATATACCTCATCCTTGACTTTTTGAAAGCTAAAAAGAGGTGACTTGAGGCTATGTGATACGATTCCCCAGATATTTTCTGATGGTTTTTAGCTTGAAGCACACAGTGTCTAAATGGAAACGTAGCAAAATCTAAAAAACTAAGATAAAAATATGTTTGCTCCTTTGTCCCTCTGACCGTCTACTTGTTCAACAGTTTATGGGTCGTTTGTTCTGTGTTATGAACTGTGGAAAATAATATATGTGAAGGATGCTAAGGAGCTATATTACAATGACATATTTCACAATAATATGTAAGCTGGGCATGACAGTGGACGCCAGCAGTTACAGTAATTAGGATGTTTGAGACAAGTTCATGCAATGTACTCTATCAGAAAATCAAAAGCATATTACATGTGGGGGCACTGTAATTCACTTCTAAAAACAGTACAGGAAGTCCTATCCATTAGAAAATAGATTCTCTCAATTAATAAAAGCCATGCAAACAGTCCCCATGGTAATAAGCGATAACTTAATTCTCAGCCGGGAATCCTGGGTCTAAGGCTTGCAATTCCCATGTCTTGAGAGAAATTCCCAGCAATGATCCCATGCTGAGTCTAGTCTATGTATATTTGTTCCTGCTTAGATTTCTGGACCTGCTAAAACCTTAGGCATTTCCAGGGAGAGCATTTTACACCCATGTGTGGAAGCAACTTGTTGCACACCGTGCTTTAGGATCTTGCAGTGAGGACTGATCAATAAATAATTAGCTCAGAAAGTACTAGAATAAAATGCCCTTGCAAAGTGGGCCATGGGATGAGCTCACATAGCCCGGGTTACTTGACAGGCTGAGGCAGGAGGGTCACTGGAGCCATGGAGTTCAAGACCAGCCTTGTGGTATGTAATGAAAACCCATCTCTGAATCTGAAATAAACAAAGATGAGGGGCATTGCTGTAAGCATGAGCATCACCCCAAGGGAATATCTTTGCTTGTATCGGTAGGGAAATAAAAGCAGAACGAATGAAAGAAAGCCTAGATAGCAACGGGGGAAAGACATCCAGGTTCCACGGACTTCTCTGCTGATAAAATTAACAGAAAGCCCCACAAAGTCTATGTGCATCTAGCCATACATCATGTGCTGGGTGTGTGACCTTAGGATAATAGTATACCCATTTATGCCTCTGTTAATTAATCTGAGAAGAGACGATGAAGTAAGCAAGTACTCCATGCAGAACTAGTAGTTCATAGGCAGAGCACAGACCGGTGCTTCAGTTAACTAACCCTTCCTTCTCTCTGCTGTGTTTAGTGTGCTTGGTAGCTGTGAACATTCTTCTCAGAGAACAGGAAGCCCAACAAATTGGCCCTCGGTATTTTCTTCCTTCTCTAGATACTACTGAGCACATGAAAAGGAAAAATTTGTGTATTTTATTTGTTCTTATTACTAACAAGCAAGAAAAATTTCCCTGACCATTCTCCTCTTCGGGGCTTATTGAGGACCTTCACAATACCCCATGGGATGCTAGTCTTAGATATTTTTGAAAGGCACTGTACCTATAAACGAAATGAGCTTCTGCCACGTTGTTTCCCACAGTTGGAAAGGCTTGGATAGTCAAGATGCCTTATATGGAATGAGAGGCTTTCTGGTTCCTCAGAAAAATGCTGGTTTCTGGAGAACTTTAGAACATCAGCCTAATTCTGCAGATGACACAGTTCAGAGCTCTCACCTGCAGACTTATCTTTTATCACGACCAGGTTCAACCCTCTCTGCTTCTGATGTGCAGTAAACATTGTCTTTCCCTTCTGATATGGGCTTGGAAGCATGTCCATCAACTTAGCTGGACCAGTAAAGTTGCAAATTATAATATGGAAGGGATTGCATAGGAATATCACACAATTACATTTTTGTTTTAGTGAGTCCCTAGAAGCATATATGAATGTTGCATACCTATGCATGCATCCTAAAACACATATGAATGCACACATGAATGTTGGCATGTATATACAGGTGTAAGCATGCCTATATACATATACAAGTCTAAATGTTTATGCATGCCTGCACACAGAAACAAGGTTAAGCAAGTAAAAGGTGTAGAAGCTTGGCTGTCAGAAAGCACTAAAAGGGTCAAAAGATAGGGTTTTCCAGAGACTGCATCTTAAGATGTGGTGTTAATTAGAGAGGTTTGAAGATGTGTGGTACCTGCCGGTATCCAACGGGCAAGTTTTCTCCTATTTTTAAAATAACTAGAAGTATCCCTTATTTAGCCTTAAATTCTCTTCCATTAAGTAATCTGATATCTCACTGTGCATCAATCCATTAAACACAGTTCAAAGGAAAACATAAAGTTGGTAACTACTTATTTTATTTTAGCTGTTCGAAGGCTCTACTTATTTATCAACTCTAATTTTTCTTTTATAAGGTCTGTCTGATTTCCTCTTCCTGGCCTCCCTCTGAAATCCAGTTGTGATTCAAATCTAAGAGTTAGGGTGCAGCTCAGTGGTAGACTGTGTGCTGCATATGTGTAAGACCCCAGAATCTATGAAAATGCCAATATGTTGTAAAAAAAAAACTTAAAATAGTGGTTCTCAACTGTCCAAATGCTTCCTCTCTTTAATACAGTTTCTCATGCTGTGGTGACACCCAACTATAAAATTATTTCATTGCTACCTCATAACTATCATTTTGCTAATGTTATGAATCATAATGTAAATATCTGATATGTAGGATATCTGAAATGTGACCCCTGTGAAAGAGTCATCTGACTTGCAAAGGGGTTGCAACCCACAGGTCGAGAAGCCTGGCTTAGATCTTTTATTTTAGCATTGTGTGTAGGTTTAGAGGTGGTTACTGTGTACCTGTGCACCATTATATCTTATGTTGCTTTATGTTAGAATTTGTGTAACTGGCCTTTCACCTGCTGTCTGTCTGAAGACGCAGGCTTCAGATGTGATGAGACAAGACCTATGCGGACTCAGCTGCTGAGCTAGAGAAAATTTGCTTCAACAGTCACAATTCAAGGCCATCAGGAGAATGACTGTAAATAACAGATACTTCTAGAAATGAGATAGATTTTTTTTAACAATGTGGGCCTCCTGTTAGGTAAGCTAGGATTGAGTTCTAGAGGATTAAGTGCTCTGAGATAGAACATTGGCATTGTTTTAGTTTGAATACAACATCAGATTGTTTGCAATAACTAGTCTTTATTTGTAGTACCATGAGAAATACTTGCTGCATTTTAACTCGAGTAAGGGGAAAGCATGATCTTTGAATGATGTTTTCTGTAATCAAAATATTCTGCTTCTAAGGGTATGTTTAGCTGAACACTCATTCTGCCAGTGGTCAAAATATACATAGTACCCACAATTCATATTTAATTAGTCCTTATATTCTGGTAGTGTGACCAAATTTGTCAGTGAAGAAAGTTGGGAACAGAGAGGTTGAATATCTACCTTTAGATTGCGTTTCAGTGCTACGATGTTTATTCCAGTGCATTTGAAAATCAAGGGTGTATATGTTTATGTACACAGGGATGTTAGAGGACTATGATTCTCCAGAAGTTGGTAGGGAGGTATTTTCAATGTTCTAGAATTTAAGGATGGTGTTGAGATTAGTGGTAGGGAGGAAGCAACATGGAACATTGTGTTCTTGGCAGGACATCAGCAGTGATAAGTAGACTGTCCCCGGCATGGCTGTGGAGAGCTGTGAAGGGCAGGAGTAACTGCCGAACTGACAACAAGACTGATGTGGAAATCTGCAACGCGTGTCCGTCTGGGCAAAGTGAAAGTTCATAGGAGCCCTGCAGCAGGAGATCCATATCTTAGAGGAGATCTGTAGGCTCCCTTCTCTACATTTACAATTAGATCCATGAAATGGATCGGTCTTATATTGTTCTCTTTCGTTACTGTTACTATAACTACTTGGCAGCCAGATAGACTTAGCTCTCCAAACCACAAGCATGCTATTGAATTGAGACAGCACATATCTTCTTAGGGAAGAACATGGTGTCATTTTGTCTCCTTTCCCTCCCTTGTTCCATTAAAATGATTTATCATGTTGATATGCTGTCCTGCGCTAATCAGTGCACCATTTCTGTATCTGTTCCCCTCGATCACGATGTACCGTTTGTCTGAAACACTGCGGTGGCTGATGTGATAATATTTCACTGGTGATTTTACATTCATTTCCCGGGTAGTGACTCACACATAGTCCTGTTTCCTTCAGATGGTCTTGTCTGGTTTAGATTCTTTGCAACAGGTTCTTATTTAAGTTGAGATGTATTCTTCCTCCTTGTTTTTTTTTTTTTTTTTTTTTTATAAAATTCTTGTTATTTCTTTCTTAGGTGTAGGAAACTCACTACTGAAGCCATGTCGAACCACGGTTTTCCTCCTGGGTCAATTTTCAATTACAATCTTAAAGCCGTGAATTGATAGACGATTGAAGCTTTCTTTTTCTTCCATGTTCAGTAATCTGTGTCTCAAGTGGCTCTTGTCCAATTCACGCAAATTATCAAACTTATTAACATAAAGTTGTCAAAAAATAATTAAAATGCCAAGAGCCTTGTAGTTAGCATCTTTTCATTCCTGGTATTGGTAATTTATGTCTTATTTTCACCTTCTACCCTCACCATAGGCCATAGCTGTGAGAGAAAGGGGATAGTGCCGGGATCAGCTGTTCGACCTCAGTGAGCTAGGAGCTTGTGAGATAAGTCCTGGTTTGTTTTGGTTATTTCTGTTCAAATCAAGGGATGTCTGAAGGCTTTTAAAATCACCAGGTGGCTATTATTTAAGAATTATCTGTCAGGGAGTTCTTCCTATCTTGCCCTTATAGCCAACCTTGGAACTCAGGAGTCGGCTGTTGGTCACCATGGCAACTGCAGCTCCCTGCTGTGGGTTCCTGACTGTGCAGTCACCAGCAGATAAACTTCCTGTCATGCATGTTCCCATGACTGCCACATGCAACACGCAGCCCACATTCTCCATTCCTATCCTGTCTTCTCCGGCTTCACAAAATGATCATCTTATGACCGGTTCCTGTAGATTCCTGTGCAGTTGCTGTTCAGTGGTTCATGTTGTCATTTGTGTCATGCGAATACTACCTTATACATTTTGTTCATCTTTCAATGCATGAGCGTATTGCGTTCAAAGCCTCACTTCGCCAGCAGTTAAGTACCTGAAACTCAAACTTTTCAAATTCTTTGGGTAGCAGTTCTTCTAGTCTTGTTCAGTAAGAAAGAATGAAGCCAGACCGTGATGCGTCTCAGCCACGGCCTTGCTAAAACAAACTGATGAAGGGTATTAGGAGGAGGTCATATGGGAATTTCACATGTGTCATTATTAAAGGGCAGATGGTTGGTGCAGAGCTATTGTGTTCCAAGCGTGTCTTCAGTGTGGGTGACATAGTGTAATACATCAGACTGATAAATGTGCCCTGGTTTGCTTATTGATAGTCTACACAGAAACACTCAAGTCCTTAAGTCAGCATGTGCACACACTAACATGGGGAACAGTGGTCCTCTGAATTTCCATGTAACCTGCAAGAGTAACGGGTGTTGGGGTACATAAGCGTCTTCATAGAAAAGGCAAACGTAAGATTGATGATGATGAAATGCAGAGTTATAGTTTTCCTTCTCTTCCATCTACATAGGAAAGCCTGATCATCTTCCGGGGAGACCCCAGAACCGCATCTTTTCTAAAGCCATTTTGTTCCAGATGAAATGACCCTGAATGCAGCCTTAAGAGATATGGACTCTCCCCCCCCCCCCTTAACAGCTTGGTCCTTTCCCAAGCTTTCTTACACTGCACAGAGAACAAATATATGGAAGACACATTTCATATTCATAATTATTTAATTACAGTGTGTCACCAGTGTCTAGTGCTTGTCAATACTTTAAAAAACATGTGTGATTCCCCCAGAATATGTGGGGGCAAGAGTTACAGACACATAAGACATACTTTCCCTAGCATGAAAATCAAGTTTGAGTTTTGTACCCACAATACCTCCAAGTTAGTTACACATTTATGGCTTTGGAGAGCTGAAGCGGTAGACATAAAATGTTTGTTTTCATGCTTTCAGGAAAGTCTAAATAGACATCGATACTTGAACTCTTTCTCTCATGAAAACTCCACTGCCTTCTATGGAATAAATCAGTTTTCTTATTTATTTCCTGAAGAGTTCAAAGGTAAGGTCTGAAAGTACTACTGGTTAACTTCCCGATTCTAACTTCTTTGTCTAATGAAGGAATGATTTCATTGAAAGCCTTGTAAATTGTGTGATAGTTAACATTTTTTAAATGCCAACTTCCAAGTGGGTACCATATACTAAGCATAAGGGAAGTGAACAAAGACTCTTCTCTACTAACCATGGTTTAAGAACTAAATATGTTTGCATGCAGCACATCCACGCAGCTGCAAGCAACAATTGTCTCCTCACATTGGTAGTTTTCTCACACCAATATTCGTTCAGAATATTCATGGTTTTGTGGGTAGTGATAAAAGAAGTAATGCCAGTTATGTGCATATTTTCCAGCGCTGCCCTAATTCTACCAAGCAAGCATCCCACAACTCCTCCAGTCCCACTGTAGAGATTTACATTTTTGGCTTTCAGACGGATGCATTTCATGTTACAAGAAAGCACAGAGGAAGAATTCCAAGCGACAGCTTGGCTAGGTAGCTCCAGGAAAGCCCTTCGTGTAATGTCTTTCTTCTCCATTGTCTCTTCTTCTTTGTCACCAGCTCTGTATTTAGGGAGCAAAGCTACCTGGTCTCCCAGATACCCAGCAGCAGGGCAGACGCCCGTCCCCAATGTGTCTTTGCCACTGAGATTTGACTGGAGGGACAAGCATGTTGTAAACCAAGTGAGAAACCAGAAGATGGTAAGCTCGCGTCCATTTGCTCTGAGCTGTCTGAGCATTAGAAAGCTCCTCAAGGTCAAGCTTAGTCAAACTTGCCAAGAAACCCAGGAGGTTTTCTAGGTAAATTCATACCCCAGTTATCCACCATGGGAGAGAAAGCTCCTTGAAGGACGAGGGGTAGTTATCCAGCCCTGACTTTTCAACCTGCCTGGGTGTGCTCACTCATCTGTGACCATTGCCCCTCAGCACGCTCCCTCAGGAATACACCCCAGTAACCATACTGCGCAAACCAGGAATCCTGTGGACTCACAGGTGGAAAGTCAACACAATTACTGGCTGTGTTAAGTGATTCAAAGGTAAAGTACATAGTAAAGTGAAATGAGGCCGCCCACACGGTGTCTGGATCTTTAACCTTCACTTCATCGTGTGAGCTCCCTCAGATAACCAGGTGTGTGTGCTCACTCTCTCTAAGGCCACATACCACCCAACTGGTGACCGTAGGAGTCCGGTCAGTGTAGCTTCAAGGCTACACACACTTGTTACAGATCCGCTCCGCCCAAAGTCTGATTGACAAGAAAGGGAGAATGGGTACGGAGACAAAGCTTAGGTCATAGTGTGGGGAAGCTTTGTGAAGCTTTTACAAACACATAGAAAATTCACAAACAAGGTGACACTGGTTTTTTTTATTGTTGAAGAATCAATAAATAAATAAGTACAGCAATAGATCCAGCAGTTGAGCATGAAGAAGATCCACAGTATGCCTCCAGAGATGGGTGCTGAGAGGCAAGTTTGTGGAGTACTGTGAAGTCATGGGTGGAAAGTGTCTCAAGGCAAAGGAAAGCAGTAGCATTCTGTGGGATGGGTGTGACTTGGAATGCATTGCAGGTCACCTAGTCTGCAGAAGTTTACAGTGTGTGCTTCCTTTTTTTTATTTTTTTTCCATTTCTTCTACTACTGTGCATCCCATCATCAGCACAGGCAATGTAGCCAGAAAGAGAAAGAGTTGAAACTCTACAGCCACAGGAAGGCATTTACAGGGTGTCTGCACTAGAAACACCAATATATCCTTCCCTCTCCCCATGGAGAGGAGGTGAAGTGTTCTGCACAGCCCCGTGTGGTAGTCTCCATTCTAATTAGGATGCTTTTTCCTAGTTCTCAGGTCCAGTGTTTATGATTGTTTATTAAAATTTACTACCATGCCGTTTAGTTAGTCATTGCACTTGTGGTAGTAAGAAGTGGGTGTCGCATGAATCCTGTCCTTCCCAGAAGGAATTTACGTACTCGGCAGTGGTGGGTTTTTGTAGGAGCTGCCTCAGTGGCGTGACTCGTGCAGGCTGTGGGTGTGATGTCCCCAGCCATACTCACGTTTGGAGATCAGTCCATCTTCAGCTGAGGACCGTTTTCCTAGGCCATGGGCGCCGAGGTTAGAGGGCTAAATAAGACCACTTAAAACCACGACATTGATTAGAGCATCACCCTCAAGAACACTCAAGACTTCACGGCCTTGCTTCTGCAGTACATGGTCTTATGATGAAGCCAGGTTTTCAATTCCTCCTCCCCCCTTCCTCTCTTTCCTGCCTTTTATATGGATTGTGCAAACTTTTATGTGATGCTTATTCCATCCTTTGGGTTTCCTCCTTTCATTATAGACAGCTCATTTATTCTTTTCTGAGACACAGTAGTTCCTAAGCCTAAGTTACTGACTGACTGTAGTGCCTCTACGTGTTTCCTTGGCCTCTCCTAATTCATTAGCCTGACTGCCTTACTTGGTAATAGTGACATTACTAATTTAGGTTTCATCAATAAGTAGATGCCAGTGCTCAAAAGAGAATTTTAGTCTCATTTCGACTGAATGTTTATTATATAGGTTTCTGCTTTCTGGAAACTTCGCTTGTTATTTTTTTATCTTGCTGCATCTAGAGACACTGAAAAGTTTGATGTGGACACTGTGTTAATATTTGCTACCCCTGTCTTTTGGGCAGTGTGGAGGCTGCTGGGCGTTCAGTGTGGTGGGTGCAATAGAGTCGGCTCGTGCGATCCAGGGGAAACCTCAGGACGACCTCAGTGTACAGCAGGTCATCGACTGTTCCTTTAACAACTATGGCTGCGGCGGTGGCTCCCCGCTCAGTGCTCTGAGCTGGCTGAATGTGGTAACCATCTCAGCTCTCCGAATCCCTGATTTCCTCTTATGCTCTCTGTACACAGAATCCAATCACTCTCCTCCATTAAGCAAGGTTCAGTGATCAGAAATCTAAGTAGACAAAGGTTGACTGACTTAATCAAGGAAAAGATGCATTGCAGGGACTCAAACCAGGGTCAGTCGTATGTTAGACCAGAGCTCCAGTGAGTTACATTACAGACCCTGATGATAGTAGCAGTCATGGCTTCCAGACTTATTCGCCATCAATATATCAAGGTAAAAGACATCTTCAACACATTTTCAGAAGGATATTATAAAGATTCCATGATTTTCTTAGTAGCCAATTTTCATGTGAAGACCTGTCACATGATGTATCAGAAGGATCAGAGCACAGAGTCACTGGTTCCCATAGGCGTCCTGAATGGCAGTGTTAGGTGAGACACCACGGGTCAGCTGGATTAATAACTCTTCATAGATGAAGAAATGAGTACTGTAAGTGGTAATCATGTCGCTGGACAAAACTGGATGCTAAGCCCTTGACCTCCCACTTCAGGGTTTCTATAATTTCCCCCGACATGCTTACACATGTATCAGTGACATGAAGTAAGAAAATGAGCGATCACTGTAAAAGTCACCAAATCAGTGTTGTCCAAATCCAAGTGCCTCCCGTTAGACATTCACGTTACAGGCAACCACCACACGCCCGTGACTGCTCTAGACACATTATAGATAACGGTGCTTGTGTCTCCTCTCTTTGAATAAGCCTAGCACATTTGTCTGTACGGGCATTCGTAAGGCATGCAGCACATCACGACATGCCGTAGCAAGAACATTTGGCCACTGTCTGGCCACGGAAGTAAGCTCTGCTTAACCTTTAAAAGAACTGGAAGTGAACATTTGGTGACTGTTTTCTCCAGACACAGGTGAAGTTGGTGGAAGATTCAGAATACCCTTTCAAGGCAGAAAATGGCCTGTGTCGCTATTTTCCCCAATCACAAGCTGGAGTCTCAATCAAAGGTTTTTCTGCATATGACTTCAGGTAAATGCCTTGCTTTGTGTGTTTTCATGTTCTTCACCATCTGTGCTGCTTTCAGAATTGATGACTTGGTTGAAGGCACATTCACCCTTGCACACTCTTGGCTCAGAACTAACTTCCTGCTAAGAAGTTCAATTGATAATCACCATGGGGTGTCCCAGACATCACTTTAAAAGAATCTGAAGATTCTTCTATGCATCATCACACTGAAAATAAGAAATCTGAATGAATCTTTCACTTCAGTCTAAAGATATAATAACATGACTGCCACTACTCAGAAGTTTGAGATGCTAAGATGTGTGAGCTTATTCTGCCATAATAATTGGGTCTGTCTAACCTCACGTGGCATGGCTCATCAGATACATAACAAGAAGCCTTTTTGAACACAGTATTCCATGCAGTTCTCAAGTAAGCAGCTATTGGAAAAACCTGAGCTTTTGACATTAGAACTCAGAACTAAGACTGTGTTGAAGATAAATTATGTAGCATGCATTTAAAAGAAAAACATTTCACAGTAAACTTAAACTGCCAGAATCGAACCTCAGAAAGATTCTGAACTGATTTATTCATTCATTTGGATCACTACTGGCCAGGGTTTATGGTTGAGTACTGGGCAATGAACAACATAGACAAATGCCATCCTTCTTGACTGTTCTTTGATGATTGAGACAGTCACATAAATAGAAACATGTGATGTGTGGTATAAGAACTTTTAAATAAAAGAGTAGGAAGAGGAAGCCTTTGGGGCAATGGTTCTCAACCTGTGGGTCATGACCCTTTTGGGGTCATATGACCCATTCACAAAAGCTGCATATCATATATTTGCGTATCATATATTTATATGATGATTCATCACTGTAGTAATTTTTAAGCACTGGCAGAAGGGACAGACTGTAATTTTAATTTGCACTGGATTGAATTTTAATAACAATCAATATTCATGCATTATGAAAACTTGCATGATGACATCCAGTGGCCAGAGAAGAGCATGCAAATGAACGTGTCTGAAAATACAGACCAGAAAAAGTGCCCTGGTTGGCGGTCATCCTAACCTGAGGAGCTGTACCAAAGGGTCTTAGCATTGGGAAGGTTGAGAACCGCTGCTCTAGGGGAAAGGGAAATATGTGGTCCTAAAGGGAGCTGCCAGAAGGAGCCTCCCCGAAGAATGACTGCTGAGATAACATGCTGGGGAGGAGGACAGCATCGTGAATATTTCTCCAAGCGGAGGCTATAGGAGAAGAAGGAGACAGCAGGGCAAAGCGCTTTTGTGTTCAGCCAGAATCTATGACTCAAGGCCAATGACTGAGGAGCTGTGGGTCAGAGGTGAGATACACACTTCTGAGCCTCATCAGAACTGATATCCGTCACCTTACAAGACCCTTTAGCCGAGGGTGCCGGTGAGATAAAGGCAGCCATGCTGCCCTGCTTCCCGAGTTCATTACAGAATCTGGAGTCTCACTCTGGGAAGGGGCAATGTGCACTGCAGTGCTGGGGTGGAGGGTCTTCCTATGTATCTGTCTCAACTGTTAGGAGCCAGATGGCTGGTGTGTCTGTTTCACTCCTTGCGTCAGATGCTCATCTAGGACTGGAGGTAATAGGTTACGGACCATAAGACTGGTATAAGGATTGTACCTGTCCAACTCTGAACCCATTCATCTCCCTCCCCTGTTTTGAGATCATGAGCTCTAGTCTTCAGTGTTCTCAAAACCTGTCATGGAAGGCCCACTGATCCACTCAAACCTCCATGAGACATTTTACAGACACTGAAAAGGATCACAAAGGGGCAGGGGAGTCAAATGCAAATATCACCTAGGCTCAAAGCAAAACACCATCACACTAGGCATCTTCTGTGGACTCTTGGTCCTCAGAGCCAGGCCTCGTAGGACTCAGACGGGCATGTGCGAATAGCTCACCAAATAACAAAAGGGAAGGAAGTGATTATGGCCTGCAGTGGATGCAGAGAAAGGACGTGATGTACTGTCACATCGAGCTCTCAGGAAGAGAAGATAATAGTCACAATATCACCTGACGTCAGGGAGAATATTTAAACAACAAATCCTGATGACAATAACATTTAGAATTCTTTGGCAGCTGTAGATTTTATAAATTGTTGATTTGTAGAATAAAACCTAAGCTCCTGGAATCCGGGTCTGAAAACTTAACAGCTCTCAGCAATGTAGTTCATTTGGGACAGTTGGGGTTGGGATTGGGGGACACAGGTGCTGCTGGCCACAGTGTTTAACTTGGAGAAAGCCACTCCTCCTCCAAAGAAACAGTGACAATGTCAGTTGATCAGATATCTGAGATCGAATGGAGCAGTAATCCGCTGGCCACAACTGTGAGCTAGCGTGTGTTTAATTTGCTAGCACCTTCTCTATCTTTCCCTCATCCCGCTCAGGCGCAGATTGTTACTAAATTATGGCAGTGACTCCATAGTTGGTACTGTAGAATGTTTACATTCGGAGACTTCTCTGCCTCAATCCTGACCTTCCCTCCTGGTGTCCTTGAAACTAGATTATTGATGAGAGAGACTTAGGATGCATATTTTTCTGTCTTAAATAAATGGAGACTATGGTATCAGTGCACATATGAAGAGTGTATTTGAGTTACAAAATATTCAAAGAATTTCAGGATGAAGGGGGTGTGTCCTATACTACAACCCAGGCAGAGCTAAGCTAGTTCTTGGGTAACTTAGAAAGCAGAGGAAGATTATAAGGTTTGAGTCAACTGTATAATATTTATTTTAGATTTAATATATATGACATATTATATAACTCTTGTTAGACATGCTATAAAACAAAAAGTCTATTAAATTCTGTAATTTCATGGTTCTTTGTACAGAGTATGGTCTTATAGAGTATGCTAGATAGTATGATACAATATATATCTGGGATTTAAACCCAGAATTGAAGATTTCCAAATCCTGTATTTGGCCATGGTGCTTTTTAAAAAATTTTATACCTGCCCCCAGTATCTAATAACTGTTGTACACCAATCATTAGAGCAGAAATTCAAAGCGTACAACCCAAGTCTCAGATTGATATTTTGGATGACCCCTTGCATAAAATGAGGGTGCAGTCAATTCCACCATTAGACTACAGGGTGCTTTTAATCCTTTGTAGCTCGCAGTAGCAATAAACGACCACACACTATCTTTACAGCCTGATCCATCAGTACCATGGTTTCGGTTTCTTTCACCCACAAGTTGGCCTTTGAACAATGTAAATGGTGTTTGATCACACACGTATAGAAGAGATGGAGGCCAAATGTTGTGTAACATGAGATTTTGCAGTAAACAAATGAAAAAGTAGCAACGGTCTGCTTTGTGATCTTGGTAACCCAGCACCCAGTTCTCCGGGCATCTTGATATTTCCTCTGATTTTTTTTTCACATCTCCCAGTGTTTTTTGAGTGAGCCTTCTTTGGAATTCCTGTGTGTAACTTTCACCGGCACAGAAGCGGGCATGGTTATTTGACAGATAATCATCTCTTGAAGGTGACAATGTATTCACAAACATCCAAACTTTATACCTTAGTTATTAAAAAGAACCCTGCACTCTATCAGGATGCCTGGCCTACCACATACAAAACTTTTTATCTGTTTATAAGCCAAAGTCGGAGACATGGCTGAGTTCTGGCCAATGAGATCCATGCACACGAAAGTGTTATTTCCTGGAAATCTCAACAGAGACACATAGCTTCTCTGTTGTGTTTTGTGCTGGTTGGAATATGTGTTACATGGCTGGAGAATCAGGAACCAGAAACCTGGACCATGAGAGGACTGTGGAAGTGGGAACCTTGCTTAGCAAGAGATAAGGAAAGAGGCTAAGATTCTGACATCCTCAAGCCCCATAGATCTCTTTGTATATCTGTGTGATTGCTACCATACATATCCCAACTTAGCATCATTTAAAAGATCATTTTTTTACTTTTACCTTAAAAGTTCAATTCTTTACCGATGCATATCCTCCTTCCACAGTGACCAGGAAGATGAAATGGCAAAAGCACTCCTGAGCTTCGGCCCTTTGGTGGTGATAGTTGATGCAGTGAGCTGGCAGGATTACCTGGGGGGCATTATCCAACATCACTGCTCTAGTGGGGAGGCGAACCATGCAGTTCTCATCACGGGATTTGATAGAACGGGTAAGTCCCAGTGCACCGAATCCCTCCCAAGATGGAGCTCTGAGCTAAAGCTACCCAGAGGATGCCGAGATGCCCGGCTATGCCTCAGAAGCCTCTTGACTGTTGTCTTGACAGATTCATCAGGTTTTGATTATCTCTCTCCTTCCTTTAGACCCCCACCATGTGTGTGGGTGGTGTTTTCCTGGGCATTCAATCCTTTGGGTTGCATATACAGGACCAGCACTAGGACACTGAGCCACATTCCAATCTATGAATGATAACTTTAAATTCATGTGAAATGAATGCTTCATCTGCAATATTTAGGGTAACTGTTGACAGTAGAGAAATACATGATAGTTTATCATACGTGCCTAATATCTCATCTTCTCATTCCCTAGCAAAGAGTTTGTCTTGTCTTATCTAACTGTGAATCAAAGAAAATGAACTCAGTCAGATTCTACTGTGTAGAACGAGTCAGTAAGCCCAACTGAAATTTACTAAGCCATCCAGACAAAATAACGTCAAGAAAGTAAATGTAAATTATTGTTTTACATCTATGATATTTTTCTTGCAGCAATTAGATTTATAGCATACTCAAATTTAAATTCAGAAATGTGTGTGTTCCTAATCGATGGAGGTTTTATCAGGGTGTCTTAGCATCTCACCTTTATAGGAAACACTCCATACTGGATGGTGCGAAATTCGTGGGGCAACTCCTGGGGAATAGAAGGCTACGCCCATGTGAAAATGGGAGGAAATGTCTGTGGTAAGTCAAGAGTTTGTGCTGAAACTTCTAGGCTAAATATCAAGGGCTTTTGGATTATATCATCTCAACAAACCTGAATGCTTTCAATGGGCTTAGTGGCCTTTTGTGGTATTAATTTTTTTGCTTCTCCTTTAACTAAAAAATAAAGTTTTCCTAATGCATTTTTAAACATGGATTCATTTTAAGATCAAAATATCATGATGTATGTGTGTTAAAACATGAACTAAAATAATAATTTCGCACAGGCAACTACTTCAGAAAACAGATTATACATTTCCTATTTAGGAGACTGGACTTCTCCATAGTCACATTGCTGCTTCAAATTCATTTTTTATAATGTGTGAATTCCTCTGCTGCTAGAGACTGTCAGGAGGTCTGAGTATGTGGTCAGTGGGAGAACATGGATACAGCATGTTCCAGGCCCTGGGTTTGATCTCTGACATTGCAAAGGCAAGGAACACGTGAAAGGAAGAACAATTAGGAATCAGTTTTTCTGTGTCAATGGATGAAAATCTGAGTCAACATCACACTCGTTTTTTCTTAATTTGCCACCTGCAAAATGCTCACAAAATACCTACAGAAACTGCACGGTTTACCACATACACAGACGCCTTTATGTATAGCAAGCCAAACAAAAACAAACAGAAAGGGCTGGCTCAGGGTTCTAAGCTGATGCTGAAAGCTATGTTCAGAATTGCAGTGTGAGATTCAGTCTAGAAAGCCATCATATGTTCTAAGTCTGCTTGGTATTACACTAAACGGCATATAGAGACACTCCTTTCTCATGGCCAGTGAAGACACAGATCTTCACAATTCGCAGACCCTTCAGATTGTGAGAAAGAGTTACAACCCAACTTGAGGGTTGGTGTTTTGCTTCTAGTGATCGCTGTCTAGAGTCTATGAAAGTCGGTAGCTAACCCGTGCCATTAGATGGTGACATGGTTTCCATATTGGAAAGACCGGCCTCGCAGAGCACAGCCAGCCACCCAGGCCCCTGCTGTCGGTAGATACATGGCTACATTTGCATCACTGATACTCACAGATCAGAGGCTGCTATTTATGACCCTCTGCTGCTGACTCACAGTGCCTGAACGTGGCAGTGAGATGTGACTAGTTTCTGATCAAAACTAACTGTGTTCAAAGCTCTCGCCATGAATGTAGGGCTGGGGAGCCCAATGGACAGAGAGCAGGTACTGATTCGTGATTGCCTTGACGGTGGCTCTGCTAGTCTCCTTGGCCTTCTCCAGCCTCCCGGATGTTTTCTCCCCTATATCTGCTTTCACAATCTGAGTCTCCAGAGGCCTTCCTGGTCCCTGGCTATCCTGGGCTCCAGATCCTCCCTGACTGTATTTCCTGAACATTGTATGCCCAGTGCTGTCCACATTATTCCAATAAACAATGGCAAAAAGCAGAGACTATTCCATGATCCAAGGACATTTCCAGATTATGTATCATTAAAATGACCTCTAGTTTTCAAATGGGCTGTTAATGCTTTTACTATGGTGTCAAGTTATATATTCTGAAGCAGTAAGAAAGCCAAACACACTTAGGTTTTGTTCAAATGTGGTAAACTTCAAATCTAAGAGTTCAAGTTTTCAAATAATTTAAAATAAATTCTATAAGTTATTTTTTTTCTCCTTGGGAATACAATGCATGTCAGGGCAGTACAGATCTTGTATGCACTTTATGTATCTTGTATGTATTTATCCAAGTGCTTTGGGGCTTGATTTTTTTTTGCCTTTAATGTTGCCTTTCTATTATACAGCAAAGTATCCCATTAAATTATTTGGTTAATGGATACTAACCATCATACATTAAGACATTCTCAACTTAAGGGAAAATTAAATTTTGCAAAGCAAATCGTGAGAAAATTGATTACTATTAATATCCTTTTTCTTTTTTACTTTTTGCCTTAGGCATTGCAGACTCCGTCTCTGTTGTCTTTGTGTGATCCTGTTATGTTCTGGAGTCATCATGAGACAACTAAAATATGACGCTCTTTGTAGTATAACTGAATGTAATGCTTAATTCTCAGCATTATTCACTGTCGAGTTTCAGCCACTGGCTGCAGGAGGTTCTAAGGGCCAGCTAGCACAGTTAATGCAATGGTAGATCATCCCAGTCTTTCAGAGAGACGGACAACCATCTCTCTGGAATCACACCTCCCCACAGCACATCGACCTCCAAAGAAATCTGGAACAGTGTGGAACTCAGAGAGCCTGGTGGGATCCCAAGTCACATCAGGTCCTCCATCTGGAAGTAGTTGGGATTTTCGCTGACTTTTTGTCATTCTGGCTGTGTAGTGTAATGGAATACTTTGGTCAGGTTGGGACAAAGAAACATCAGAATTGGTTCTCCTTTGTGGCCTGTAATCACCAGCCGTAAGTGACCTCATCTACTGGAACTGTCAGCCCCGCACAGTGTGTGTCTCACAATCACAGTGCCTTCCTTGAGGGAGGGCCATGCGTATGGAGTTGACATTTGATTGTGGCACCTCAGCAAATGACCCTTTACCTTAGACAGTAGAATAACTATGCACAAAGGAGAATTAAGCCAGTCCCTCCTTCAGACAGACATCCCAGCTGAATGAAACACATGGCAATCAGGTGACAGGAAGTATCTCATGCTACTTCCTATTCGTCGGAATTTCTAGAGCGCTTCACTGTGAAGGATCCGATACATTTCTCTTCTTGCCGTCTTCTCTTTGTAGTAGAAAACAAAGGATTTTCCACATTTTTCAATCTCTCTTGTCCTTTACCGTATGCTTCCCATGTGTTGCTGATGGTTCACCTTCCAGTCCAGCAGAATTCTGTCCTATTTTTGGCATTCCATTTTTACTACACAATCTTTTACTTAAAACATTTTCCGACACTTGCTGGTCCCACTCACTTTGCTCTTTGTTCGTGTCCTTCACTAGACTCCCAGGATCAAGAACAAAAGTCCTTATTCTCTTTCCTGTTTCGGTGAGAAGCAATCTCAAAAAAATGTGCAGAGACTGGACTGTGGAAAAATAGCAGAGGACAGACAGTTCTTAATGTTTTTGAACAGAGTTGCCTAATTATTCAGGGACTCCAGAAAGGGATTGAGTTCAGCTGTAGTTCTTATTACTGACTTTCAACATGTTTTCGGTGGTTTTGTGATACCCAGTTTCAAATGTAGATTTTCAAAATGATTGTTACTGCTCACGTATTATGAATTTTGATAACATTTATAATAAAACTACCTATATTTGACTTTGAATTAAAAAGAACTTATTCTTAAATGTCTGGGTTTTTTTAGTTATCATTATTTGTGAGTGCTAATAGATATTTATTAGTATTGATAAACTTTACATTCACATTTTTTTGGATCCAAATCCATATATGCAGTGTGGTTTTTTTTCCTAAGACACTTTTATCTCCACTCTGTCCAAGTCTCCCTTTGCCATCCTCCCAAAGCTGTTCAGCACCCAGTGGTCCTTTCCCCTTTCCCATGTCGTTCTGTCAGCAGCACTGCTAATGTGTAACTGTTCAATAAAGTCAAGAGAATTCTAGGTACCCAGTCAGGTCAACTCCACCTTAGAACCCATTCCTCCGTCTACCTCCTTCCTCCCCCATTCCACTGATCCTTTCTGGGAGGTATCTGTTGTATTGTCTCTCATCTCCACAATTCACTTATCCCTCGCCAGCTTCAGATAACAACTGAGACGGAAGGCACATAGATAATGAGGTTATTGTTCACAACACACGCTGCTGGGATGTACTGAGCATGCCCACGAAGTAAAGGCAGACAAGGGAGTTTTACTGCTAACATGAAGAAGCTGTTCTTCTCTGGAATAACTGCCCTCGGGTACAGAAAACCACATCAAGCTTGAACAGATAGTCACAGGCAACGTATTCACAAAAGCTTTCATTTTTCTTTTTGTCTTTGTATGAAGTTATGATGACTTTGGTGAAACGCAGTTCAAACAATCTTTGTGTAGTTCTTGCCAAATATAGACATATATGTACATATATATGTATATATAATATCTCCTTTCCGTGACTTCACAGATTATATATATAATATAGTATATGATATTTTATATATATATATATATATCCCTTTTCTTGACTTTACGGATTTTTACTTTTACTTTCTTTTTAGAGCCTGCTATAAGCAACTCCATTGATTCTCACAACATTTATTAGTAACTAAACTCAATGACCTTTAGCTCAGTGGCTCCCACACTATCATCCCCAGAGCAGAATCCAGACGGCTTTGAAAAATGCTACAGTAATGCACTTACTACATTCCAAAATTTGTACCTCCAAAATGATGTTATCATTTTCCTCTCGAGTTTTAAACCATTGGGAATCTCCTAATGCCTGTCAGATAGCTTGCAAATTGTTTCAAACGAACAGAGAGGCCCGTCTCTACCTTTCCATCCTCTGTAGGTGAGGGATGACCTATCTACCCCAGCTCATGGGTGCTCCAACCCCAGAGAACCCAAGGCTGAGCCAGTTAGTGCGTTACTTAACACTTTGGAGTCATGCTGGAAGTAAGTCATCCACAGGTCCTAGAAGTGATTTCACGAGGTCCCTACGGCAAACGAAATCAAAGCTTGGCAGTAACTGAAATTCCACTGAGAATTGCCATTAAAGTAGCTCCCCAGCACCCAGAGAAATGGCTAATAGGGCCCAGTGGAGAAACTGCCAGTACAAATTACTGTGATAATTGCATTAAGAATTACTGAAGCTTTTGAAAAAAGAAAGTTCTTGCAGTGATATATAGCTTAGTCACCAAGAAATAAAAATATAAAGAACCCAATCATTGAGTTTACTAGAGAAACATAAACTTTGATAGGTAGAACTTACTCCAGGAATCCCCGGCATTTGAGTCATAGACCAGCTATTATTTATGTGCTTTTTGGTGAAGGGGAATGAAGTTTGCAGAAAACCTTGTCCCCATTTAGACAGAACCTGGTGTTTCCATCTGAGTGTGCATCAGCACATAGTTAGCACAGGACAAATTCAGCATTTGCTCTTTAGCTTATTGATTTCTGAGAGTTGCCTTTAGTTCCCACGGTATTTGCCTCTGAATTTTTATCCCTTTAACTACCATTGTGTATAATGTAAACACATGCATGAGTGCGCACACGTGCACACAGTACATACACACAAGGCATGTAGCTGAAAAGCCACCGTCATCTTCCTTTCTACATCCTTGAAATACTAATTCCAGGAACCTCACAGGTACCAATTTCCATGGGTGCTCAGTTCTTATATGCAAAATGCCTTGTGTTTTGTGATAATTTAGACAAACCTTGCTCTATATACACTGTAAAGTTTTTTCTAGGTAAGCTATAATACAATGAACAAAATGCAGGCTGTTATTATGTAATGACAGAAAGTCTGCATGCGTACCATGTTTCTTCTTTGACACTTTACAAATTGGAAAGCAGACAGATCCCTACAGCAGAACCCAGGACACAGGTGGTCCTACTTTGCATGCATATTACAGAGCAGCTAAGCATGATCCTTGCAGCGTTTGATTGAAACCGATTTCTAGTTCGTTTCTTCCAAGAACTTCCCTCTTCTTGGAAATAACTTGTTAATTCTAACCTTGAATCTTTAGAAAACTTAACACAATATTTTGTAGCCCCTAAATGCTGCTAACACCCAAACCAGGCTAGGAAAGAGAAGATTAAGACTCAGGTCTGATACAAACCCCGAGCAGCCTGTCTTTGTTAGAAATGCATGGTTACTGTTTAGCCAGTTGGCCTATTTAGTGGGTAGGAAAGATCCCTGGAGAACTTAGTTCTACAAAAGTTCTTTGTGCTAGCACTGACCATGGCCCAGTGCAGGCATTAGAGCAGGGAAGTTCAGCTTCATCGTCCTCAGGGGCTACAGTGTAAGGGAGAAAGCGGTCTATGACAGCTGATGTTGACACAGAAGAGAGGAAAGCATCTTCAAAACATTTCAGGAGGAGCCTATTCCAGAAGCTAAACCGGGTTCCTGTGGTGTATTTTTTTTAAGTGCCTTTGAGTTCTGGAGCTGCTGAAATAATAATCCTATAACAACCCTTAGGCCAAGCTTCAAAAAAATATTGGCACTATTCAAGATCCCCAACAAAGCCATGTTTTATAAGCAATGCACAACCAAAACCTAGATATATTATTTAAAGATTTATTTGAATAAATTTTGTATGGAAAGACAGTATTTATCGCATATCTAATATAAAGTAAGTGTTCAATGTGCTTTACAAGGCATAACACAATGAGGTTAACAATTATTTAAAGTGGTTCCACTGAGTAAGTCTTGGGGTACATTGAATTTTAGCAGGAATACATCATTTGTATGATGACGCTAATGCTTTGCTAAATTATTTCTCATCTTAGTGCTTAATCTTACATCACCACAATACACAGGATTATAAGATTATTTCCAAGATTGGGCCAGAATACCATGTCACTGAGCTACATATATAAATACATTACTCCAAACATGTACTCATAAAAACTTATAAAAGATGGACTAAGGAGACTGCAGCTTCCCCAGACATTCAGAAGCCTTTAATCCGAGTCATCACTGCTGAAGTAAGAGCTGTCGCAGTATTCGGCTGTGTAGAGGAATTTGTGAATGATCGGATTCATCTTTGGTATCCAGTGTCGAGGAACCAGGTATGTTGAGAGGTTAAACAAATCCACAAACACCTTGTACCTGTCGCTGGACGTATACATGCAATCTACATGTTAGATTGTTAATATGAAAAATTGACAACATTCTGCTTTATAGTTTTTCTAAAACATTTCCCATCAACAACTAATGGTGAGCCTTACATCTTACGTGTCCTAGATAGCATAAATAGGTTGGTTTGTAGGTAGTATTGGTACGAAAATTATGTAACTTTTCATCACATCCCAAATTAATGTTTATCGACAGTAATGTGTTAGATTCAGACCAGAGTGATCCAAATTAAACCTAGAGTCATTGTGGTGATATTTTTTCCCGTAGTTAATGTTGTAACATTATTCCTTTTTCGTTGGAAGATTTGTTTTTATTAATTTTTAAATAATATTTGTGTGTATGTGTGTGTATGTGGGGTGTATGTGGGGGGTGTTTGTGTATGTGTGTGTAGTGTGTGTATGTGTGGTGTGTGTATGTGTGTTTGTATGTGTGTGGGGTGTGTGCTTGTATGTGTGCGTTTGTATGTGTGGGAAGTGTGTGTGTCTGTGTGTGTGTGTATGTGTATTTATGTATATGTGTATGTGGGGGGGGGGTTAAGTGCATGTGAGTGTGGGTACTGGTGAGGTCAGAGGCATCCCTTCCTGGACCTGAAATTACAGGCAGTTGTAAGCTGATTTACATGGGTGTCGGGAATCAAATTCTTGATGAACAGCAGATATTTCTAATGACTGAGATACTGTTTTAGTCCCCTTACTTTTTCATTTTAAAGGGTTGGTCTGTAAAGTAATATACTTAAAATATGGATTTTGTTGTTGCTCATTGAAAAATATTTCCTAACTGCAAAGTATCTGTCATGTGACTTCTATGAAGGATTGATAAATTTAAATATCATCTTGGCTTTGTTACACACATTTACAGAGTGGTTTTGTATAAAAATTGCTTTTCTGTGTGATAACCAGCCATTTTAAATGATAGAATTAAAATAGCAAAATCTGGCAGAGTTTTATGAGAGGAAGAAAACTTGCTAAATCAACTAAATCTGGTTTGCAATCCCGCTTCTGTCACGTGTCACACAAGGGGCCGTGAATACGAAACTGAAGAATCTAACTCCGGAATAAAATCTACAATACTTCCTCTGGCCAGGACATTGTGCGTATTAAATGAGATGATGCACTACACACATTCTCCAGGTAACGTGTGTCCATGTAAATATGTCAACGGAAACACCTGTGGCTTCCTATGTCTTAGGTGACCCCTGTGAAAGGGTCATTGAACCTCTGAGGGGTTAGGACCCACAGAGTGAGAACAACTACTCTCTGCTGGTGCCAGTTTGGCACCCATTGGTACTAGAACACCTTTTTTTTTTTCAGAAGATGAAATGATGAAGTTCTGTAACTGAGAATTTTATACAATTACCTTGAGTTTCCATAGGAATATTGGTATTTAACTAAATGTACTGCTTTCAGTTAAGAGGTAAGTGTACATGACATCCACAGACCTGTAAATGCCAAGATCTGCTGACTTCCACTGTGGTGAGAAGCCCCAACTTACCTCACGGTTGAGCGTAGGTACTGATAGCCTGAGGATCCTCCAGTGCCACCCTTGGTGCCCAGCA